TAAATTAGACGAGCGTGTTTGGCCAACAAGAGTGCTTACCAGTTGCGTCGGGAAGACGTCTCGATGACGATCGGATTTCGTAAAAAAAAAGAACATGGGCGCGTTTTTTTTTCACGAATCGACCAGAGTGCGTACGGAGTGGCGCAAAATTAAAAAAAAAAAAAAACGGCCAAGTGCAGGCGTTCCCCCTTTTAATTGGTGCTGTCGCCTATACGGCGTGCAATCCGTTACAAAAGCGACGCGTCGAAACAGCAACTCGCGACGATAAAGATCGCGTATGAAGGAGGCGTCACGTCGACAACCATCATTGCCATTAAACGCTTCAATATGCGGCACCTCTAAAGCTCGTATTGTTGTTTCGCCTTCGTCACAATGCGCGTCACCGTTGCGAAAAAGAAATTCACGAATTTCTGGTTATCGCGCGAAGAAGCACGAGAGGACAATACAATTAGCAACCACGTTTAACCGGGAATATTAAAATTGAACTGAACAGGGTATTAAGACCTTTCGAACTCCCTTGGATTTAATGTTAAATGGTCCCCGGTAAAGAATACTTGTAGACCTTGATCGTTCGCTGCCCTTTCTCTCTCGAGAAAATCTCCGTCGGTGGTGAGGATCGCGAAAAACGCGAGGTAACGATTTCCGTTCGCGGCAAGAGCTAATTATTCCCTCCTCGAAGACACCCCGCCTTATCTTCGTCTCCTTTCTAACCACCACCTCCCTCAGTGTTTCTCTTTTTTTTTCGGTGGCAAAAGCAGCTCGTAATTAGATGCTAATAATCAGCACCCTCCAGGAGGATCACGCTCTTTTTCTCTGTCTCTGTTCCTCTCTGTCTTTCTCTGTCGACGTCGCCCCGTTGCAACGGGGCGCAAGAAAACCCAAGCCCCTGAAGAGCTTATTATTATCCTAATTATACAATACTATAATGAATGACTCCGCGGCTCACCCTCTAGCCCTTACTCTCACTATCTTCCTCCCGATGGCTCTCTCTCTCTTTCTCGCTTTCGCCCTCTCACTCCTCCTCCTTTCTTCTCGCTCACCGTTGCTCTTCTCCTCTGCACTTGGTGGTCGAAGAGTGGCAATTCTAGCACTCGGGCTTTTTGTCAAACCGACTACGGAACTAGTGCCGTCTCCCTCGCGCCCTTACACCCTATTATGCGACCAGCCTCGTCTCTCGTCCCGTTTTCTCTCTGTCTCCTGGTGTCTGTTTTAATTAGGCACTTCGCGGATATATATAAGTATCTACCATGCGGTATTACGTAGGTACATAACCCAACCGAGCCCAGCCCAGCCCAGACCTAGCCCAGTCTGCCTACCATATTCCGCCTATACTCGGCGATCCGACGAGCTTGAATGCGGTTGATGGGTGGTTGAGTAAGGATTATAGACGCAGGTGACACATACACGTTACCTCCGAGAGGCTGAAGTCGGGGGTGCCTCGGTCCTGATGGGTGGGTGCTGGTGACGGTTCAAGGAGACGTTGAAATAGAGAGACGGAAAGAGAGAGAACGCACGAAAGGGAGAGCAACCAGGAAGGGAGAAAGTGAAACGCGAACGACCAACGGAGGGAGGGAGAGAGAGCGAGAGAAAGGGCGCGGGACACGATTCTGCAGAGACACACTCCTCTTTCAATTCTCCTCTCGTGTGCATAACCTTCTCTGACTGACTGCTGATAAGAGCACGCGAAATTGTCTTAATTGGCGAGAGAGCCAATCTGGAGTGATCGAATGAGAAGAGCCTCTCGCGTCTCTGCCACCTGACTCCTCCTCTTGCCCTTTCTTCGGGTCGCTACGTATAGATCGGGACGCGACGCACGAAAGATCCCATTGTTTTCTTCCGTTGGTTCGAGTGCATTCGATCGACGAGTGTCACTCTGCCGGTGATACTGTTTTCGCCATTCTCTATCCCGCAGTCTTACTCGTTATCCGAACCGTCGACGTTTCCGGTGGTCCTATCAATCGCGTAGGTACAAAATATTTTTAATAAGTTTGAAAACTACCGATGAGAATTAATCTAACGATGCACGACGTAAGTGGAGTGAAAAGCAGGGAGCATCTTGCGATACAAGGAGGGTCGTAAAAGCTTAACAGAATATTCCGTCGTCTGCGGCTGGTTTTCGCTGGGAAACCGCGACGACGGATATGGAAACGTTCGTCGATTCTCTGTTTGACGAGTCGCGCACGAGTCCGCCAGGCGGAAGCAATCTTAAAAATTGCTCCCAACGGCACCAAACGAAGACCAAGACCCGAAGGTTGAACTGGTTGCCTCGCATTGTCGAGCATTCAGGAACCTCGAGTTATACAAGCCGCGGTAGCACTACCGGCTGGTTTCCCGCTGAACCGTACTTCTTTCCATCCCCTCGGGATCCAAAGTGCAAGATCAACCTGACTGCCATTCTCGCTGCCATTCTGGCTTGCTACTCTAGGATACTTCCACCACTCTGGCCCGACTTCTGTGTGCGTTTAAGGGTGAGGAGGATAGGGACCCCGGAAAGAAAGATCAAGAGAAGAATGGAAAAATATCCGGACAAGTAGCAGGCTCCGCTTACCCGTTCTCGGGCTCTCTCGGTTGTCGCGTCAAGTCGTTCGCGTGTTTACCTCGCTCGACTTGCTCGTTCGCGGTACGGAAAAAATACGAGGACGGCTCTCTTCTTCGTCTCCATCTTCCCGCGTCTTTTACCCTCACTCCCGTCGTCGCATTCCCGTTTGGACCCTGATCGAAGATGATACAAAAGAACAATAGTCTAGACTAGCACATCTCGTTCCGTCTCCGATGGGAATTATTACCGCGGTCTGCTCAGACGATGCTAATACTTCGTTGGAAATGAAAATAACTCGTTTCTCGTACGGTTCGAAAGAATTCTCAAAAGCTATCGTACTTGAAAATTTAAAAATTAACACTTTGCTGTACAATAACGTGATTGACTCGTCACAAGTTCTTGATGTCAAGTTTCACAATCATGAGGCTACTCACTTCTCATTCAGTTTTATATAGTTTTTACATTCACGAGGTATGTATTCGTAAAACAAACCTATTCTTTTTCGTCAAATCGTACGTCAAGGGGTTAAATTTTGCTGGGACATGCATAATCGCGACATCACGAAATCGAGGACATGTTCTTACATACCGCTCACTCTCGACCAGTACGTTGTACAGAAAGTGTATTCTAATGTATCGAATATAAATTACTCTGAATCAATTCGAATGACTAGAATCGAAGAAAGGGCGGAATATTCGCGTCAGATTCGACGTAACGCGATGGGAATGATTAAACGATCATTCTCGGTAGGTTTTACACGCGCCTTACTCGCTTACGAGCTCCGGTTCGCCCCTTTGCGATAAAACGAGAACGAGCCCGGCGCGGGAAACTCGGCGTTTCAATTGAAAGAAAATAATTAATTTCTTAATCAGTGGGAGTCGCATTGAATTCCAGCTGGCAAAGACGTCGCACAAAGGGCCGCGGCGTTCAAAGTTGCATTCGTTTCTCTGGCGGCACGGCGGCGGGCGCGTCGTACCCATACTCTTTCCTCAGTTTTCGGTGAGATCCGTCGAAGCGGATCCACCCCTTCAACGCTGCCCCCTTTCCCGGTTCCCTGCACGTAAGGCTCGGGTCACTATTACTATACAAATTACCCGCCAATTAGTGACTTGTGCTTGTTTTAACTGCGTTAATTAATGAACGTAAACGGCAAACTTGACGGGCGCTCGATTTTTTCCTTTCCCGAGGAAGGAAAGGAGAAAAAGCGCGACGCCGCGCCTCGATCCCGCAATGTTTGGAGCGCGCGCGCCTGCGCGCCGCGGCGGCTGTGAAAGTCGACGGTTGCCTCGACGAGGGTGTCGAGATCTTCTTGGACGATACACTGTAACACGTTCTTAATAGTCTCTTTGAACCGCGTCGCTTGCCAGCCGACGATGAGTTGTACACACCTCTTTGCGACTCTCTCCCCTTCTTCCTCCTTCATCTTCTCCCGCTTGCGTCAGACCACTTTTAGTATCGACCCTTAATTAATTATCGGTAGTGCATTAGCATTCTCCGTTCCGCGAGAATTAACGTCGAACATAGTGGCGGACGGCGCTTCTCAAGGAAAAAATAATTTTCGCTCTTTCGTGACCTCGGCGCTCGGCGTAGGAGTTTCAGCCACCTTCGTTCGGCCGACTCGAGGGCGCCCGAGAACCGAGGGGGTGGCCCTTGCATCGACGCTAATTAATATCTTACGAAATTCACGCGTTAAAGAATTCTTTCGTCTCGTTTGCAAAATTTTCGAAACTCCCGGACACCTGTACCAAGTCGCTGTGACACTTTTGAATCGATGTTTGTAAACTTTCAAATAATATTGTAAAATACAGTAAAATTTCGATTATCTGGCGTACTCGGGACTGGGGCAGTGCTGGAAAATTGAATATGACGAATAATTGAACTTCAACCCCTTCTGAGGCTACTGACTTGTCATCAAGACTTATATATTAAAATCAACACATTTTTACATTCCCGAGGTATTTGTGAAAGAAATCTATTCTTTTGCGTGACCATTCTTCGTACAAAATTAAATAGTAGGCGTTTAAAAAATTATTTGGAATTAAATCATACGTCAAGGGGATACTTACATATAAAGTGATAAAACCGAGGAATATAATTTAAAATCATGGGTAACGTAGTAATGAAATTTATTAATTAGAAATAAAATATATGAAATTCCTTCGCTTTATTCGTCAAATATTTAATATCGACGTCACTGACTGTTCTTTGTAAAACAATTAAATATAATTCGTAACATTTGTCGAAGAATAGTCGGGGTTAATATGCCGGTTATTCGTACATTTCGGATAATCGAAACTCTACTGTAATAAGTACGCTATCGAAGTATGAAATATTTCTATCTTTTACATAAGAATTTGAACAAATATCAATAGCAAGTTAAAAAGATAAGAAAACTTAGCTCTGTAATAAAACAGTTGAACAATTATTATATCGTCTGATTAATTTGTTTCTGTGTTTTCAGGGAGTTCTACTACATTCAAATGGAGAAATATGCGAGGCAAGCGGTTTCGGAAGGTGTGAAGAACGTTGATGATCTTCGAGTCGGTGGTGACTCGGAAATCTATCGAGTTCTCAACCTTCACTACAACCGAAATAACCACATCGAGGTAAGAGATCTTCAACACTCAAACGTAAGTTTCCAACTACATATTACCCTCTCAGAACAAACTGCATGCACTATGATCCTTAACGATATGGTTCCACATAGTGATGAGGACTAAAGTTTTGCCAGATCTTGTTTCTTTTTACATAATATAGCGTAATATTAATAAAACCCACGATATAATTAATTGCGCGGAGAAACAATCGGAAACGTAGAATAAATTTTTTTCGTACTTCGTTTTTGAGAAAATCAATCGTTCCTTCAAATTATACCGAAACATATTATATTAAAAAAATATATAATAATTGTAGCGTGAAGAAAATTATTAAAATCGTGAAAAATCAAACTGTAGGGAAGCGTACTACAACTTTTTCTTAACGACAGAATTTGAGATTTGAAGATGGAGAAAATTGTGCTGTCTTGACTCTTCAGGATCAATTTTCACAAAAACGAAATATTTTATTCTACATTTTTGATTAACTCTTCTCCGCCTGTTCTGTATATTTAATAATTTCAATAATAAGTTGTAAGGTTTGGCTCAACACGCGGTGTTGCTTCCTCGACGCGACGGTCATACATGGTTCCACGCTTCAGATTTCGCATCGTCGAGCGTTTTAAACGTAACGAGTTCGAAAACATCCCGTTTACACGTCGGTAGTCGTTGCGTTTCCTCGGGAATCACTCGCAGGTCTCTACTTTCTATTGTGAGGCGTAATTTATTTTCGTCGCCGTTAACGACGCTGATTGTATTTGCAGCGGGCGCGTGACGGCGTGTGTGCACACGTAAAGCAGCTATTTAATATTATTTAACGAGTCTCCGCTGAAACCTGGAGGCTCCATTCTTCCTGACGCGGTTACAATTGTGTGCCGCTTGACGTGTAATTAATTACTCGTGTTCGTTAATAACCCAAACGTACTAATTATAAGTGGAAACTCTCAGCGCGCGCTCGCGTCGCTCGTTAAGCGATACGTAACATCGCTTTAATTCTTCGGATTCACGGCTCCTTCGGTGGACCGTAATGAACGCGGAGAAATTATCTTTCTCGTTTGTACACACGGATTTTTGCGTCGATTAAATCTTTGACGCTCCTTCGCATGAAACGCCAAGTTAACCCGACGCGCGGCATTCGTTTTAGCTTCGTTTCACGCGTACATCAACGCGCGCGTCGTAAAACTGATGCTTCCCTCGTACGAAAATGCGCTATCGACGTGAAAACGAACTCGAAGAAACGATTGGCTGCTAATCGATTACGTCGTGTCTTCGAAATTCAGTTGAAATTCTTTCAGACTGTTCAGAAAAGCGATGGTTACTGAAATAGGTTATTTTCATTTTGAGCTTCCCTAAGAAGCTAATAAATGTTTAGTCTATGAAAAATTTATCATTTTAGTTCTATCGAGAAAATAGAAATTGTTACACATTGTGATGAGACCAATTCTCAAGCATTATTTTGAGGTGTTAAACAGATATCGAAATGAGTTGTTGTTGCAAATATATCTTCTATTGAATTACAGTCGCGGATTATTCGAATAACCTGAAAGAAATCTTTTATTATATATTCAAATTTTTATGAATTCTTTATCGTGGAAAACTAGTATCATTAATTGTGAAGGACAAAATCGAATTGATGATATAAACAATAGAAATAGTTGCTAGAAATTTAAGATGAAATATAGGTGGAAATGTATCATAGTAATTGATTATCAAAATATCACATTATTTTTGTCCACTGATCAATATTTCGATACAATTATTACAAGCATGGAAAATTCATCAGAATGTAATCTTAAAAATTGTTTAACGATTATCGAACCTTATCGTCTCTTTTTATATTTCTGATGAATTTTAAATGCAATTAAAGCGGTATCAATTTTTATGTAGTTGATAGGTATCGATACAATAGTTACATGCATTGATAAATTTCAAAACGTTTGAAGATAATCCATAGAATAATTCGAATCAAGAATATCTATTTCAAATGCAAATGTATCGAGAATATCAATCACGTATCAAAACGCGTCTCACAAGGCAGACACTCATCATGCCCTCCTCTAATTTTAACCTACTTTCGCAAAGTGGTAGATTACAGGTACCTGTTGCTATATGTAAAATATTGGGTGTAATAATCCGATAATTTTAAAAATATAAGTAATTCAAATAACACCTTGCATCGTCATCGACTAATTCTTGTATCATGGCAGATAATATCGAAGTCAAAGTTAGCCAATTTTTTAAAATTGTTTTCATTTAAAATGTTTTCATTTCAATATTTTCTGGGACGTAATTAACTTTGCAATTAACCCCTTGCCTTACGATTTAATTTCCAACTGTGCGTGCCAAAAGCGACACCAAGGTTTGGCCTGGTAGACTTATCATGTCTCTGAGACGTCAGTGTAAGCTAAGGGGTTAATGGTCTACTGGAATAGGTGCCATTTAAAATTCCAGTACACAGTAAAGCAACGACCCTTGCCATCATCGATAACGGAAATAGCGAAACATTGAAAGGCACAATCAAATTTGCGAAATTATTTCGGAAATAAACAGTAGAGTTTATAAAAGTGTGACCCAAATATTGTCGTTAACTTCTATCGGATTGTCTGTCATATGATGAACTTTATGAGAGAGGAACGAAAAACGTATGGAAGCCCGGGTTAAGAATAAAAAGTAATATTCTTAGACCATGTTTAAATATGGTGCCTGGGCATCTGCTTTCAAAAATATTGCCCTGTTTAGAAGAAGCGTGTTTGATGCTACGATTTGAAATCATATACATCGTAAAAAAAGATATTGACATTCACTATTGGCATCTTTTAAATTATCTTACTATAATACATCATACGCATATAGTAACAAGGGCCTGTCATCCGTTGTTCTGCAAAAGTGAGTAAATCTTTAATTGCTCCCAGACTCAATTGAAATTTTGCAAATTAATACTAGATATAGCCGTTCACGAGCTATTTTTATTAAAATAAATGAAGAAATTAGTAAAAGAGCATAATATATTAAGAAATACATTAAGAGAGAATACGAAGTAATGATTCGAAAACGAAAGGGGATAAGTTGAGTGCTTGCCTTGTCGGTCCCATCACTGGTGGTAACATAATCGAGGAAGTATGTATCTGCATAGGGTTATTGATGTATTGAGTGTGGGTTTGGCGGTCAAAGGTTGTACTAACGGTCGGGGTAATGTTTGCAGGTACCGAGTAACTTCAGGTACGTCGTCGAGCAGACGCTGAAAGAGTTCTTCAAGGCAATTCAGAGCGGCAAGGACACCGAGCAGAGCTGGAAAAAGTCCATCTACAAGGTGATCTCGAGGCTGGACGACCCGGTGCCGGAGTACTTCAAAACCCCGAACTTCCTGGAGCAACTCGAATGAATCAGGAGGTCGCGTGGCTCTTGCTCTTCGTGGTGCGCGGGCTCATCAGCGCTCGTCGGCTCCCAGTAAAACGAAAAAAAACGGAAACGAGAGAAGAAGGAACGGCCCAGCGAGGGAGGATCGCATCCGTCAGGAGGTACACGTCCTTCGCGTGAAGCGCGTTCAGGTATCCTTAAACTAACATATCGCAGAACGGGCGTGATAGAGAACGTGCGAGAGCGTGTAGGGGAGTAATACAAAGAAGTAAAAGAAGATGCAGCGTTCGGATGGTACGAATAGGATCATCGCCAAGGCATCGATCATCATCAAGGAACGATGAGGAGCGCCGACAAAGGATCAGGCTGTGACCTAATCACGAGACAACGTCCTCGCGCGAGACGAGGGTGGATGTAAATTTTACGCTTCGTGCCTTTCGATTCCTGGCCGAGATTCACGGAGTCTCGGAACCTCGGGTTACTAAATAACGAGGCCGTGAAACCTGTCCACCCTGTTCTCGTCGCGGCGACAATACCGATATCAAAAAAAAAAAAATGACGGTCTTGGGAGAAAGCGAAGAAACAGGACGAAAGCGTGGTCAACGAACGGCAAGGATACACACATACACACACACACCAGCTTCGAGCGACGAGTATTGTTTGGATTTGTTGCGTACAGTTCACCGATTACCGCCTAATTTTAAGAGACTCGTTTTCGGGATTAGGGATAAGGAACGTTTGACCCGCGACAACGAGTGAACGACCGGCGGCTGTTTGTACGAGCGAAGAGATAACGAGGTGTTTACGGTACTGTTTGTCCATGTTTTTCAAAGAGCCGATAATTATTGTCTAACGGTGGAGCGAGATCCGCTGGACGGATCCTCCGTAGCTTCCGGTTGAGAGGCAGAAGAGGAGGAACCCTTCTCGTGGATCTTCGGGAACGACTCGAAACGAACGCCTCGCCCTTCGTCCCGCGTCGTTCCGTGCGCACAGAAGAAACAACGATGGCCAGTTTCACACGGCATTCGTCACGCTGTACCTCGTGGTTTTTTTTAACGGACCTCGTGCCTCGACCTCGGTCGCAACAGCCACGCCGGTCGGTCGTCGTCCCGGCAGCCATTTATCTTTCAAACGCGTTCGAAGCAACGGGGACCCCGCGTACCTCGACGGGATTCCGTTGCTTCGAACGGATTCGAAGAACGGCGCGATTCGCGCCGAATCGAAATTTCGCGGGAACGAAAGCCCCGACGGACTCTTCGGCGCGATACTTCTTTTTTCCTTCGACAGAAAACAACCATGGTTCGAAAGAAACAATCAACGGCCGGTCGCGGGTGGTCCCGCGGCCGTCCACCAGGATCTCGATCCTTTCTCTTAAGTTGTACATATAATTATTTGATGATCGCACCGTGCAAACGTCGAACGGCGGGTTCGAGATCTTCGTCAATGCTGCTTGGCTCGATCGAACGGGAAAATTGATAATATTATATCCTACGGTGAGAATTCCTACGATAATTCTGGCGAGAGCCTCGACATTCCACATTCGGACGAGCGTGACGCGAACATCGAACACTCGAGTGATACGCAACGCGATCGATAATAATACCGAATAATCGAAGAAATATAAGACACCTATTTTTCATTTCTCCGCGGAGGAAGGGATCTCCTTGTCGTTGTATCGTGTTTAGTTGGTCCGAGATTTGCTCGCCGACGAAAGGGGGGGGGAAAAACGAAATGAAAAACGAACAAAGCCAGAGGGAAAGCAATCGCGTTGCATTGAACGAGAAGACGGTGCGCGGATCACAATATTACGCGTGACATTACGTAGAAGATGTTTTTATTAATGGTTAGTTGATATAAACGAGGTTAGACTAGTCGCAGTGACAGGAGTACGAGTGGCAGGGACGACAAAAAAAAAGGGAAGGGCGAACGGTATTTAGAACCGGATCCAAGCACCGGCGGCTTTCTTAAGCGTTAGACGATTTAAAATGAAAAAAAAAAAGTGAAATGGTTGATAATAATAAGGGAAACGAAATCACCGCGTAAAATAATGGGAGATAAATTGAGAAAAAGTTAAATAACCGCGAGCCGGTGCGTAACCATATACAAAGTAGATTATTATAAAAACGTATATATATATATACACATATATATAGAAATATATATATGAAGAAATTTGAAAAAGTATATATACATGTAATTGCGTCAAATTATATGTATATATATATTAGAGACTTATAAAACGAAAGACGGATGTTGGCGCGATTTAAATTGCGTAAAGAATGTGTGACAGAGGGTTAGACGCCCGTGTCTCCCTTATTCCTCTTGTACCCGACCTATTACACGATGACATACGCGCATACACGTCCATACAGACACACACGCGACACACGAACACAGTTTGAACGATGTACGCGCGGGTACGCACACGTGCCCCGTACATCGTGCATACACAAGTACACGCACGCAGGCAAGCGCGGGAAATCAGTGACGACGCCAAAGTACGCGTTCTTACCGCAGAAATTTCTTTTCCGCTAGACGGTTTGTAGATAATTTTATCGTACGATATAATAATTATAATTATAAATCTATTTCGGGTGGTAGCGAGTCCTTGTAACTTAACCTACTTACCTTTTTCACTATTACCTACCATTATTATTCTCGCTATTATGTGCACTATTATTATTATTATTATCATCATTATTATTATTATTATCATCATTATTATTATTGCTATTACCATCATCATTATTATATAATTATTACGATTAGTACTATTATCATTAATTACGTTACGAGTATCCCGCGATTCAACAATTTTATTCGAATCACAATTATCGTTTCCATGTCGCTTTGTACACCAAAGTATCGCTTGGTTTAGCCCACGTCTAAACATTTATCTATTTTTTTGCGTCGCGAGAATATCAAGAGTAACGCGTCGTTCCCCATTCCACAGTCCTGTCCCCCTTTATGCGTTTATTCTCCTTTTATTTTAAGATCGAACCAAATTCTTATACAGTCCTTGCCACCCTTTAATGACGTTTCGTCAATGTTCTGGCATTTAGTTATTATTATATTTAGTTATTGTATTATTATTATTATTATTATTATTATTATTATTATTATTATTATTAAGCATGTATTATGCAGTGTACACAGCAGAGAGAAAAGCAAAAAAGAAATACTACACGAATACACACGTTTTTGTAAGCGGTGAGTCTTAACCTAGTCACGAGTCACTATTTTTTAATTTTAACGATCAATCTATCGATTATTATTTTATTTATTATTTACGACAATAAAAGCGAGACATTGGACCCGTGTTGTCTTTTTTATTTTTCGTTGGTTCTGTTTTCGTTCGTCGGAAACTCCGAGTACCCGGCCACGCGCGCCACTCCCGCGTCATCCTCAACCCCCTCGAAACCCGTTTTCAAAATCGTACGAGAAAAAAGAAAAAAAAAAAATGTGAAAAAAATTAAAAAAATTTAATCGAACGACACACCCGGGCGAATCGTCTCGAGCCGAAACGTTTCGAACATTCGACTGCCGACCTGGCCTATCTTTCTGTCCAAACGAACGAAGCTCTTCTCGAAAGGAACGCGACGACGACGCTTCGTGCCGGAAACCGACGACCGTCGAGTCGAGTCGAGGAACGAAAGGGACACGAGAGAAAAGAGGGGAAATAGAAAAACTATATTTAGGGGTGACGGTGTGGGGTAAATTCGAAAATTTCGACTCCTAGACGACTAGAATTAGTCAAGGCCTAAAATTAGTAATCTCCTTCGGCGCTGGCCTAAGATTTTGGTCTAAACGTTCACGGGGAGGAAATAGAAAATGAGAGGAGGACGGGGTGGGGTAGTTAGGCGTGGGATTATAAGCGGGAACGCGTAGAAAATTTCGAAAAACGACGATAACGTACCTGCGGTCGCGTCGAACGTCGAACTCGACTCGGGATCGCGATTTCCGGCCGGAACTCGCGCGTCGTGCTCGCTGATTCTTGTGTTTCGTTCGGCTTTAGTTCCTACGTTACTCGCACCTACAAACACCACTTTGCCAAAGGGGGAAATTTAGTAACGAAATCTCGAGGGAGATTTAATCTACCAATGCGCGAAACGATCGGCGCAGACGTCGCGTTTCGACGAATCGCGCTCGTTTGCGCGGGCAAACACGCCCTGTCGATACGTTTTTTAATTTACCCAAAAAATTCTGCCCGCTTTCGAGCTGTTTGTCCAGCACTCTGAACAACGGATCGACGGAAAGCGGAGGTAGCGTTTAATTAGGCGAAAAGTGGACTTTTTATCGATGTTACGCGGGTATCGATCGTTCACCGTGATCGATCGATTATTTAAGGAGTCGAGAAAATTAGTATAAATAAATATTCAACACCATTATTTTGCAAGCTCGTTTAAATATTCACTGAGAACGGTAGGTCTTCGAATACCAACGATTGCAATTATTCTGATTTCACAGGAACGTTACACAAAGGTTTCGCACAGAGAACGCATTCGTGGATTAAACTTGCGCTCGTTTGGCGAAAATTAACAATAACCACCTTACGCGTCAACATCTTTCTCGAAACGAAGCATCCTCTTCATAACCGCTGACAAATTTTAAACGAAGTAACCGAGCAACAATTCGAACAAGAACTATAGAAACCGTCACCATCCTCATACTCCGTCATTCGATGCGACAGAGAGAAACTTAGACACCGATAGAATTCTAACAGTAAACAGTCCCGGAGAAAGAAGAACCGCCACCAATAGTACCGATTTATTCCAACGACTCAAGCTGTAACCGAACTTGATCCAATCACACGCTTACCAGAAACACAAGCATCGCCAACAGTTGACCTATACATGTATGATTTGCAGCCGGACATTCCGGCGCCGATTCGAGCACCGACGAACGTCCGATCGAAATCCATTTCCGACAAAAAATCCCGAGTCGTCCTTCTCATCGCAGACAAGAGGCTCGCCGATTTCCGCGAGCGTCCGGAAACGGAAGCCGGTTGAACAGCCGACGTTTCCGTTCACCGAGCAGAGCATTCGTCGCAGCGTAATTCTCGCCAGTGAGGACTTTTTCGATTTCTTTCTCCGTCGATCGAGGATCGAGGGTCCCGGCGCGAAGGACGAACCGCCACGGATCACGATAACGAATCGCGAACACCCGCTCGAGGCCCAGACAGAGCGAACGGAGGCCGAGATCCGCGTTCCGCTCTCCTCGATGGTCGATCGGTGCCCACGCGTCCTGGGATCGAGCCGCGGTCTCGATCGTGGCCCCCGTAAGGGTCGTAGCTCGTGGTTCCTCGCGGACACGACTCGGGCTTCCGGTCGTCGTCGGGGACGCGCGATCGTGAACGGAGCGGACGCGCGGACGTGAAACCGAAGAGAACGAAAGGGATTTCCTGCGCCGACGAAAACTTCACGGACAACACGAGTCCGCGCGATCCTGTTTCAGGTACGAGACCAGTGGGGGATGAAATTGCGAAAGAAAGAGAACGAACGAAAGCCGATCGACTCGCCGTTATTACGTTTTGTGCAACGGGGCCAAGGCACGGAGAACTAGTACACAGGACGAGACGAAAGGACTTTTTAAAATACGGATATGTGCGGGGGGGAAAAAAAGAAAAAAAAGAAACGATGGAGAGAAAGAGGTGGGGAGAAGGAACGGAAATGGAAGAACGTTTGAGAGAGACGGAAACGGAATAATAAGCATACGTACATACCTAAACGCGTAAGTCTTAAGGAACACACGTGTAAGCAGAATTAAGTAATAGTATTTAACGTTAACACTTGCAAGCTATTAATTATTATATAAACGATTAACTCAAGGTAATTAAACCAAAAAAACTAAAAATACTAAAACAAAACCGAGCGGAAGGTCGTATCACGCTGCAGTGGAAGAGGATACCCACTTAAGAGGAAATGAAAATACTGAAACGTAAAGTGACACAAACACGCTAATAAACTAATTATTATTGTATGATTATATATTATTATTACGATTATTACTATCGAGTTCGAGAATCGTCGTGATAAAAAGAAAAATGATAAAAACGTACGAATAGGAGATAGAAAACGATGCGTGAATGCGGGGTAACTAGGGAAACCGTGAGAATGCGACATCGAGAACGTGCGCGCGCGCGTGTGTGTATGTGTGTGCACGCGAGAGGGAGAAGCTGAAAATACTTCGAAGTACGTTCATCGAGAATAATCATTCCTCAAACTATTAGAAACGTAAATTAGGGTATAACATATTATGACGAAATATTGCGATTACGGAGGATAACGTGACGATATGCAACGCGCGCGATACCAGTGTGTGTGAACGAAGGGAGAGCAAGAGATTAAAGAGAGAAAGGATAGAGCGAGTTAAGGAGAGAAAGAGACAAAAAGAGGGAAGATATATAAAGCGTTTTTTTTCTCCGTAATGGTCTCATCGCGAACCGGAAATCGCGCGACGTTAAACTTTATAGTCTAGGGACGCAAGGGAAGGAAAATTCGAGCGACTCGAAGAAAACGTGCGACCGAGGTGGAAATTAGCGAGAACGAATGAGAGATAAGAGAGACAGCGAGAGAGAGAGAGAGAGAGAGAGAGAGACTGCGAGCGAAAACGTGGATCAGACAAAAGGAGGGGATGAATGCGACGAGAGAAGTTACGTTTTTATGCAAGAGAGCGCGTGCGTATGCGAAGAAAATTAAAAAAAGTGAACATAAAAAGAGAAGATTAAAGAAAAAAAAAAAAATGATGGAGTTAAGAGAAGAATTACTGATTGTTGACACTGATTACTGAGTGAGCAAACTTTCTGTGTGATAATCTCGTAGTACACGTAGCGCGTTAAGTCTACAATACGTTTCGGTAGGGGATTTTTAGGTGAGAGCGATTAAACTTTTTAAAAATGACGAACGTGAAGAAATTGATGTGAGGCGAAGGAAGAAGAACACGCGGAACCCTCCGGTCGAGGATTTCGAGAGGCGTTTGCAATGTATATTTTACGAATACTTTGGAAAATTGGTCGACGGGGGATCGGTCTACCCGTCGACAGTCGACATATCATCGCGTGTATATTAAATATCGATTCCTGTGTTAATTGGTTGCAGGGAACTCGACGGAGCCGTCGATTACTCCGGTTCGTCGAATTAACGTAGGGAATTAGTTCCTTTGATTTGAGGATGTAGTGGTCTTTGTATTAGAAAAATTCTTTGTCCCCGACCGCGACATTCGAGACGCTTTTTCTCTAGTTATTTTTCGTTCACAGGACGAAGAGGCAGTCGATTACTCCTGCCTCGATCACAGACTCGGTCTTTGCGGGCCGCGATGTTCCGACTGGATTCGGTTCTGTCCAAACGATTCATTTCTATAATTCGTTGATACGTTCCATTTAATCGTGCAATAGATTACGTTCACTGCAGAGACGTTGTTGTTGTAATGCTTTTAAATCGGTGGTTGTTTATTTGAAAACATAAATGAAAATTACTCAGTCTGAAGATTTTGCAACAATGAAGGGACTAAGATCGAGTGAATTAGTTTAAGTAAATACCTTTGGCTGCTTTTCGATATCTATTTCGTGATGGGTGAGGGAGAGAGAAAAAGCGAGAGTGATGAAAATTTAATAGAGGTAGCGAAAATTCTAAATTAAAGTTCCTATCGCTTAGCCTTCTAGCCGAATCTTCGACGAGCGATTTTAAATAAACAACCCTTCCGTTTCACGCACGAGTACATTAATCGCCGTTCAACTACCTCGAATTAGAAAATCCACTGACGGCACACCCCCCCTCCGAGCAAAGACTCAAAACGGCCCGCAAAGCTTACGACTCGTTACCAAACCCCCAACGCCCCCTCTGTCTCTGCACACGTATTTCTGTCCACGGATCACGAAACGAGAGGCTGTCGATACTCCAGCTCTCGAAAGACTGAAGATCCTCGATTAACTCCCACGGTCACGCGACTAACCCCCCTCGCGTCTCGAATGCCGTCGCTGTCGGTGGACGAAAAGTTTCCCATCGATTCGAGCAGCTTTTCTCGAAACGCCTCGGTGAAACGGAACCTCTCGGAGTCCGTCAGCCGCGACCGAGGATCCGTTCAAGTCGGGTGTTTGCGGGGATGGGTGGGCAGGGATGCTTAAGAATGGGGGTTTTTAATGGGACAGAAGGCCGGAGACCGACGAAATTGAGAACGGTGTAGAAGCGTGTAGGGAGCCAAGTGTCCTTGATGCGACCGTCGTTGAAGCCACGAAATCTCGCGATCTCAACAGGTGATTTTTTTAGTTTGGTTCGAGGTGAAGAAAATCGGGAACGTCACGATACTAGGATTTGACGGCGACAGCCGTAGGGAAAGGGGAAGATCAAGGGAACGATAGGGATATAAAAAGAGGAAAAAAAAAAGTCACGACTGAGATGAAATCCATGCGAATTGCGATTTCGGAACTGAGTTCGGAGCCACGGGCGATAGACGTTCGGCGCAAACCGATCCTAGTTGACGGAGCGAGAGAAAGAGAGAGTGAGAGAGAGAGGGAGAGAGAGAGAGAGAGAGAGTAAGAAAGAGTAAGAGAGAAAGGGAAGAGTAGGGAGAGAAAGAAGGGAGTGATTGGCGACGGACGACAGGGAAACGAGCGAAAGAGCGAGCGAACGAGTGCGTATACGCGCGATTGGGACGACGAGCGAGTGAGTTGAAGAAAAATTGAAAAGAAAAAAAAATAAGAAAAAATTATACAGAGAGCGCCGACCTCCTTGGCTACCGGGAGGTCCGCATATATGTATTGTAAAGAAACAAGAGACTAGTAAATGATAATGAGAAAAGAGAAATTAGGAGAAAGCGACGAGAGTCAGGAGATATTATTAGATCAGTTGTAAGCGTAAGTTAACGAGGAATTTTCTCCCCGTCCTCCCCCAGTCCCCCTCAAAACCTTTTCGTGCACGATACTTTTAGCAATTCTTTCGCGAGCGTGAATGGTGTCCGTGAAAAAGCTGAAGCGAGATTATGTGCGTGACGATGCTTATTAACATGGGTTACGTGCGTCTGCGTGTGAATGCGGAGAGAGTGAGAGTGAGACGTGAGAGATAGGGAGGTATTTTTTCTTTTGTAAAGAGGAAAAATAGAAAATGGAGAAAAGGGTGGAAGAAGAAAGGACAGGATTAAGTGGCCCATTACAGGTCCATCGTCCGACTCAGTAGCGCTATCGAGGAGAATATAATCGATTGCAAAGAGGCAGGCGATACACACAAAGCACTAAGAATGGCAGGTACTAAAAGTGTCACTATCCATCCAACCCCTTCAGCCATCAAGTGTGAGAGCAACGAATGACTAGCGGAAAAGTGTAAAGCTTTAACGAGATTCTGCTTCCCATCGGAATTGTATTTCGAACCCCTGCGTCTTTTAATTTTCATTCGGAAACGAAATTCGGTATTCGTCGTCTTCCCGAAACAACGACCCTTCAATTTTTCGTATCGTGTTGCGAGATATTTTTCGACTATACGTCAATTACTCTCCAATCGACCGCGATCGATGACGGAACGTAATATCGTAGCAGATACCGAAAACGTAAGATGTAATTTTTTACGTCTCTGGTCCGTCGCAACACATTCCTTCGTAACCATCGACCATTCAAATTCGATGAAATGAACCAAGAAAAATAACTCTATCCTAATCGACACGAACGTTCGTAGAGTTTTACGCGCGAGATTTCTTCCCCGATCTTCGACGCTGATTTCCCCCCCGATTTTCATCGTCACTCTCATCTAGCGATCTTTCAACGGATGCAGAACACGCAACCGACACGTTGCGTCCCGAGAACTTCTAATTTATCGTTGCGATCCCCGCGTCTGGTGAATGAGTCGAGGAGCCCGAGGAAGGTGGTGAATGTACGTGCGTGTACCCGAGAAGAGCACACACGAGTTGAGAATGAGAACATGTTTTAAGTGTCTGTATTTCTGGAGTGTATTTCTTGCGTAATACGTCTCAGCCAGCAAGTCGCGTTAGGTTATATACGTATTAATCATGTGTAGGGAATCGTAGGTGTATTAAGATTAACGTACATACAAAAAACAAAAAATACTTCGTGGAAGAGGTGAAAGATGAATACTTATTTAGTAACGAAGAAGCGAAGACAAGCAGTAGCAGCAGAAGCAACAGAAAACATGCAAAATACCTACGTTGATGTGTGAGGATGTGAGCTAGATCGCCGCGTTGAGTCCAATCAAGTCCTCAGAGATAATATTACAAGCGCAGACCCTCCGCAGATTGAGGTGAAAATGAGACGCGACCCTGGACACCGTGTCGGCCGTCTTCGTCGCTCCGTGGCGGGCATCAAGGGGTTTATATAGTCTTTAAAGTATCACGCCAAAGCCAGACAATACTTTGATAAAATAAATGTTAGTCGTTAAAATTTCGTCGCACGGCGAAACAAAGATTTCGAGCGGAAATATTTTTTTCGAAAGGTGTACCGATAATTGACCGGGGTTAAAGCGACACGGGACGACGAACGACGACGCCGACTTCTGCCCGGTCAGCTGGAACGTCTTGTAAGAATATTGTGGGAATTGTTTTTCTGCGCCCCGGTCGGCTCGATTTTTTCGGCCCGAATCGGGGTAACCTGCACAAGCAAGTACATTTTCGACTTGGTACCTCTGTCTCCGCTCGCCGTGATTCTTCCCAACGATTCGTTCCCCATCTTTCGATCTTCAGTACTTCACAGAGAACCCACAGAAATCCCGTTGGTCTTGCTAGTCTCGCGGGAATACAGTTTTCACAGGATTTACTTTCGACTCGAGCGACGCGATCGTAACATTGCTCGAATACCTTTTAAATTGTAATTCTTTGTCTTATAGTAATGTGCCCCACTCGTCGACACAGTTCTTGACAATCACCGGAAGATAAAATATTTGACGAGATGGGAACTACACCTTTCATATTTGTTTCGTATTTAAACTCTTAAGAATGATTAATGTGTTACCAATGTTAACAAATTTAGAAATATAGCTGAAAATAAAATATTTTCGACAACTTGATAATTATATTAACGATGTAAATTGAAAGTGTCAGGTGTGCTCGCCTAATCCGTATAATTTAATTCTATCGTCCACTAGTAGACAAAATCAATTTTGAGCAAGACAATTACTCTTTGGAACTATTAAAATTAACAGTAATAATTGAATATAAATTCTTTGTAGACGATAAATATAAATATTACTTTGAATCGCTTTCAAATCTTTTAGCAATTCTATGCCACTCTCAACTCCGTAAAGCGTGAGATACGTGTCAGCCATCTTGGTATCACGTTCTCCAACAAAATGGTGCAAATATGAAATCCTGGTTACAGTTTCGAGTCTAATATTTCGTATTTCGAAAGTAACGAAGTATCAGCATCGATCAACGAAAAATGTTGAGACATCCAATTCGAATTGTCGTTCGATGGCGTCGCTCGACGATTACAACCGATTTACGTTGCAGTCGTGAAGCCGCGGGTGACGGTCGTGCATACACCGACCCACCCGGATCGCAATAGCCCCGTCGCGGAACACGAGACAGAGGTCCTGGTTCGTCAACCTGCCTACTTTTCACGCATTACGATATTTGATGACTATGCCACTTTCGACACGAGGACATTCCTTTCGTACATTTACCGGCGTTTTTCTTAGTTCGCTTTCGACACGAGAAGTTTCGGATCGATTCATTGCTGTCCTAGGTTGCGCACAAGACGACACATAAAGACGTGTCGCGGGGAGACGCCCCCGCGATCGAGAACGGGACGTCTCGTCGCGACGGAGAGTGAATAGAAATTCCGTTTTTCGGCAAACACCAAAAAAGTGAAAACTCAGCTCGAATGGCGACGCGCGGGAACGTGAACGCGCGCGACGTTACAGTCGACGCGCGGCTATGTTCCCGCCGCGCCAGTGAACCCACACAACAGTAAGTGCTCGGCAAGGCGGAGTCGCCTAGCAGCACACCCACACACACGCGTACAACGACACACACCGTGGACACGAGGAGCGTAGGAGCGACACACACGCGCATACATACACGCACACGCGTCCCACTCGCATCTTATACAGTCACACTAACACCCGCCACACTTACACGCAGTTTCGGCCAGAATCTAAAAGACACATAAAGGAAAAAAGTACAAGTTTATCACGTTGCGCCTTAATGTTAAAATTAAAAGTTGATCAAAAGAGTGGAAGAAGAAAAAAAAATAATGCGAAGCGTATTCTTAACCAAAATCGGCCTTAGTATATACTTTTCCGGGGCCGTAACGACGACGAACGACGCGCGACCTTCCCGCCTCGCCTACCCCCGATACCCCGTCCCCCAACCCCCTTTCTCTAGATTGTATAAATGATATATTATAAATATATGTATACATATAGTATTATATCCGCCGGCGGCGGGACGTATCGAAACCTCGCAGCTAACTCAGCAAACCACCGAACCATCGAACGATTTAGGGAAAAATGAAAAGTAAAAGAGAAAAAAGATTAAAAAAGAAAAAAAAAAGTGGAAAAAGAAGGACGAAAATAGTCTTCTCGGTTCCCGCCGCGTCCGGTCGGATTCGAAATTCTTACGGTTCGCGTGCACGTTGGACGAAGAAACCTCGGGGGCCTGATCGTCGCCGACCTGAGTGCAACGTGGACACGACACCTGTCTTTCAAAGCTCCGCAAAAACCGTCGATCGCCGGAAGGTCGCCAGTCGGTCGTCGCGCGGCCCGAACACTCCGCTCCTGCAACCCCCCAGCGATTCATCCCCCCACGAACCCTCCACCCAACCCGCCCGACCTGATCCCCCCCCAAAAATAAAGTCCGCTCGAGAACGAAGAGCGACGAGAAAGTAAAAAAAGTGGAAACACAGCGAACCGCCCATCCGTCAGGCGAGAGAAAGAGAAGAGACGTTTCCTTTCTCGCGTCAGAGAAGAAAAACACTTCCTGCATGTGAAACTATAAGCAACGACGCGAGTGGACGGGTCA